AAGCCATACAAATAATTAACTAGACCAACACAATACCATACAAATAATCAACTAGATCAACAGTTTACCATACAAATAATTAACTAGATCAAATGAACATCATACCGATAATTAACTAGATCAACAGATCACCATACAAGTAATTACGTAGTTCAACATATTACCATTACCATTACAATTCGGTATTTGTTCAAAACTTTTAATGTTTCAACTTCGAAAGTCAAAAGTTGATATTGCACTCGAACATTACTGCCTCTCCTCCAATCTGAATGTATATATGAAGGTGTGGATGGGTTTACAGAATAGAGAACAATGAGCAAAAGAGCAAAAAATATAAAGAATAGAGAAAAATGGACAAAACAATAAAGGATAGAGACAAATGAGCTGCTAAAATATACAGAATAGAGAATAATGGGCAAAAAGTATAAAGAATAGAGAATAATGTCCTAAAAAATAAAGGATTCAGAAATGAAGTACCCCCATCCAGACCCTCATATATGTCTGATCGCAAATAATAAGTGAGGGTTGACACCTAAAAAGTGTATCCCCACCACAACCTCATGTGCCTATCCCATACCAGGAAAGTTCTCAGTAGATATCATAAGTAAATTGTTTATGTTCTTTCGGGAATTGTGTTTATGGCCGAGTGGACGATTCACATCTCATGATAGCGACTCGGTAGTTTATTTTTCTTGATTGGTGGTCATATAAAGAAGACCCTATACCAAGCCCTTCGTATTATTATGTGTGCACTATAATCTCTTTGGCAACCTTTCGAGCAGCCCCTAGTCATGCTTCAATGATTTTGAAAGTTTTACAATGTTCAAAGCTTACGTTGTTTTAGCTGTTTATTCAAGTTTATAGAAATATTCATCTATTGTTGAAGGTCCTATGTGTGTGTTTATATTATTCCAATCATGTCTTGTCGCTGGGATGAGTGACTCACATTTTCTTTTATTCATAGGAATAATTAAAAAAGTTATTTTTTCTTTGAATTAAATATTTCTTGAATATATACTTAGTATCAAACGCTAGACATAAATGTTTGTACCAGCCGACAAAGCAGCCAACAATGTGGTGGTATGACATAAATACTTCGCGGAAGTTCTTAAGAATGAAATTATATTCTTCTACATTTAGTTCAGTGCGCCAGCCGACAAAGCAGCCAACAATGTGGTGGTGGTATGACATAAATACTACACGGAAATTCTTAAGAATGAAATTATATTCTTCTACATTTAGGTCAGTGCAGTCCACAGAGAGTCATATAGAAAACATTCATATCATAACTATATCACAGCTTCAGGCCTCTTATCTGAACATTTGAATGTCCCTACTATGTATTGGTTACCTAGACTATACAAAAAACCTGTAAAATATCGTTTCATCTCGGCCTCTATTAAGTGTTCTACAACTAATCTTTCAGTGCTTTTACTAGTTCCTTGACTACTATCAAAGAACTTCAATAACTTTTGTAATAAAACATGTGAAAATAGTGGAATTAACTATTTTTGGAGTGTAAACAATTCTTGGAGTGTAAACAATTTTTCGGATGTCTTAGATAAGTTATGTGCTTTTGGAGGTCCTTTTGATTCTACTGACGATTTTGACTTTTCAGCTCTTTACTCTACACTTCCACACAATCTTATCAAAAGAAGGTTTTCCTATTTAATTAAATGGTCGTTTGACAAATCTGATTGCAAATATATTTGCTGCAACTTATTTACAGCCTTCTTCTCTAATGAGAAAGGTAAATATTCTAGATATACTTACTCGAAGTATGGTGAGATGATATTGAAGCTGTTAATTTTCTGACAACATTTATGTACATTTCGGCAATAGAGTGCATCGACAGGTTGTCCGTATTCCTATGGGCACTAATTGTGCCCCTTTAATAGAAGACTTGTTCTTGTTCTGTTACGAATCACAGTTTTTGGCCAAACTCAGTAAAGACCCGTCTAAATTTCATTTAATTGATAAATTCAACAACATTTATCGCTATCTTGGTGATATTTTTTCGTTAAATAATCAAGATTTTTCTAAATATACAGCCGAAATTTACCCAAAAGGAACTTACTTTAAATAAATCAAATATAAACGATAATAACTGTCCTTTTCTAGATTTAGATATTTCGGTTTTACACGGAAACACTCTAAACAAAAATTTACGACAAAAGGGACAATTTTCCTTTCCATATTGTTAATTTTCCTTTTTTTTGGATGGTGATGTTCCTTTGGCACCATCTTACGGTGTTTACATATCACAACTAGTTTGCTATGTCCGTTTCTGTAGTGACGTTTCTTATTTCAATGAACATAATCTATGTATTACTTGTAATTGTTAGTCAGGGATTTCGTTACCACAAATTACTCAAAAAACCTTTTACTAAATTCTTCCATAGATGCAAAGATTTGGTTTGAACGTTTGACTGAACCTGTAGAAAACTTATTTCGAACGGAATATCACATCCAAATTTTTACGGAGATTTTGTTTACAGAGACCGGATAAACTTATCGATCCTTTAAATAAACTGATTCTAAAAGTTTACCAATTTAACACCGTAATAAGATCTTTGAATATTGTTTTTATTGGTATTACTCTTGATTTTGATGCCCCACTTACGATTGTAGTAGGGGCATTATGTTTTCTGGTCTGTGCGTCCGTTCGTTCGTTCGTCCGTCCGGTCGTCCGTCCGTCTGTCCTGCTTCAGGTTTAAGTTTTTTGTCAAGGTAGTTTTTGATGAAGTTGAAGTCCAATCAACTTGAAACTTAGTACACATGTTCCTTATGATATGATCTTTCTAATTTTATTGCCAAATTAGAATTTTGACCCCAATTTCACGGTCCACTGAACATAGAAAATGATAGTGCGAGTGGGGCATCCGTGTACTACGGACCCATTCTTGTTTTATCATTAAATTGAAACCTCACTAATGTAATTGTTATATACATATACATATGCACATTCACGGTTCTACAACTGTCGATACTTATATTTTGGTATTACACAAGGTCATGTTTTTCTCTGACTGCTATTGACATCTTTATACTAAATCCATTGGAGGTTGGAGGTGTACTGATTGATATTTTAGTCTTAGATACATGATTTTTAAAATTTTTTATAAGTTGTAATTAGCTGTGAACTAGCTGTCAGTAACTGTGCATATAAGTACTCTCAGGACTGTACTTGGTGTCTTTTTTATTGTGGGGATGTATAAAGACCCCTGTAAATACCCTGTCATGTCCGGCCTGTGTTTTTTTACTTGTTTTTTCTGCTTTGTATAGACTTCATTTTTAACCCCGCCACATCCTGTATGTACCTGTTCCAAGTCAGGAGCCTGTAATTCAGTGGTTGTCGTTTGTTGCTGTATATCATATTTGTTTTTCATTCATTGTTTTGTACATAAATCAAGCCGTTAGTTTTCTTGTTTGAATTGTTTTACATTTGTCATTTCGGGTCTTTATAGCTGACTATGCGGTATGTGTTTTATTCGTTGTTGAAGGCCGTACGGTTACCTGTAACTATTAACTTCTATCTCATTTGGTCTCTGGTAGACAGTTGTTGTCTAATTGGCATTCATACCACATCTTCTTATTTTTATATAGAGTTAATTTTGAGACCGTATGAAAAAAGCGGTCAGTCAGAAAACTAATACAAAAAGTAACTCTAAGACAAAGAGTTCATTTTGAGACGGGTGAACAAGAAGTTATTATCAATATTGGACGCATGGGCCTAACAGTAGCGGGTCGGGGATTTCAAAGAGGAATCTTTGGAGCATACCAAAAAATATCGCCAAAAAAAGGAAGGGTTTTGCAGTCTAAAATCTGAAAAGTGCACATCAATTAACAATTTTTAGGACATAAGGGGAGCGAGCCACATTTGCCATCCCTGCCTTATATATGTATACTTTATAAATTGAGATGCATTGTCGATGCTGCGATATCATTTAGTTCACATCAGGAGTTGCAGGCAACGCCTCCGAAAAAGACAATGTAACAATAATGTTTGTCTCGCCTCCAGAAAAAAATTGTGACAGGCAAGACAAAAAAATTAAAGGTTTTTGCTAGATATTTCTATTTCAACACTGAACAAAAAATTGAATTCCATAGTAAGCTAGAATCATGGCCATCTTTGCTTTCAGTTAAATCAAATAATTGATGAGGGGTCATCGAATTCGTTTTGATATATGAATAAAAATATTTGTTGTGTTTGCATTGAAAAATAAGTTTTATATCTGTATAATGTATTGGATTTTCAGAATTCCTCATGAATTTATCATATAAGATTATTTTGATGACGCTTTCACCGACTTTATAAATGTGTATGTCCATCACGTCATTCAAACAAAAAATGATAAAAAAGTTAAACGGATTTTTTTCGTTTTTCTATAAATTAAGGCGGTTCGTCATGCTAAACTTCGGTTGTAATGCAATCATCCATTTACTCAGTGCTTTGGAAAAAAAACATTTAAAAATTTTTTTTTATAAATGTTTAAAATAGATGACTTCGATAGTGCGAAATTTCTGAACTTCATTTAGTACGTAGCATGCATGTATATGATAGATTTAGTCGGATAAAAGAAATTTTCAACTAAGTTTCTGCTCGATACTTGGATAAATTATACGTACTACACGCTCTGGAATAGAATTTTCAATTCATTCATAAATTCGCCATGTAAAGTTTGTTACATAATATTCATAGATTTATTTAAGAAGTATAAAATGATAAAATATCGACTTTTTAAAAATGTATTGAATTTCCATTTAAAATTTACACCTATTTGGAAAAAAACCCGATATTTTTCTAGACCCTCATTTTACTATAAATAGTTAAAAATTATCTTCTGCAAAACTTATACTTTGTAGTGCATAAATTATGTAATACAACACATAACATTATACGTTATTACAATAACTTTTCGCTTAAAACCTATGTCACTAATAAAAAACTGTCAGTATCACCAAGAAATAGTCATTTTGCGACAATTACTGATAAAATCTGCACCGTGCATCGATACTTAACCTATTTTCCATTCAGGAACTTGATTATGTAAAGTTTTGCACCGTATCACTGCTCGCTAGAGTTGAAAGGTTTCACCCGGGGCGAACACCTAAACCGTATTTTTTATGCTGGTCCTCATGATTTGGACAGTTTTGCCATGTTTTTCTCATTTGCCGCTGGATTATTTGCGGTAGTATATTTATTTATATTTGTACAAGGTAAGTACATTGTTATTTTTTATCTAACGCTTGAATAATGTTAATAATCTTGTGTTCAAGAGGAGTGACCTTTTAGAATTGCTGCACAAAATGGCGGCGTGCTTTTCAATAAGTTTGTATGCACAATCGTGACCCACTTCTTACATAACATTTGTTTTTTGTGGATTATCACAAGATAAAAGGGTCAGATATTGTTGACAGTTGTAAAATTGTAGTGCATTTGAATTATCAATGAAAACAGATCAAATAGAACACAAGATTTTTCAGCGATATTCAATCTTTTAATGAAATAAACAAGAAATTGTGTATTGGAGCACCTTGTTGTCAGATATATTTGACCTCAAATTGACCCAAGTTTTTGAAGATGATGGATTTCAATGTATTGCTTTTACATTTGTACATTCAGACAAAATCAACACATTGAGTAAATTTTAATTGCATAAGTGCACAATGTGTAACATATTGTTTCTTTGTTATTTTATGAAGTAAACAATGTGCAACATAGCATGTCATTTTTTTGAATAACAAATGTCTTTATGGGGTCTCAACTAAAGATTTAATACTGTATTTTACAAACCAAATAAATCATCATTTTTTCTTTATTTTATTTTTTTCAAATACTTCTTATAATACAATTATATTTGAATTGGGCTTATCATGCTTATTACATACATCTGTTATTTTAAACTCATTTTTTAAATTTTTTTCTTTAAATGAATAAATAGATCTATTATATAAATTTGCATTTTTGATATTATACTCTTTTAGAAAAAAAAAAAATTTTGTATTATACATGTAAGTGCATAATTCATGTAATTATTTATTCTTAAATTTCTTGGATTAATTGGCCAAAATATTTTTTTTCAATAAATAATGGACATTGTTTCTCTGATGGAGTTATTGTTGTTAGAGATTGATAGTCTGTTCAATAACTTTGTAACAAATAAAAAAAAAGCATGTAATATGATTATATATGTATTTTATTTTCAATAAATCATTATTTACATCTGCAGATAAAGTTGGATATTTCAAGGACTTATATAGATCCTTGGACATTTTCATACAAGTTTCTTTGACTTTTGGGTAATTTTTCAAAACACTTATCTATTTTAGGCATAGAAGGTAAATTTATTATGATTATTAAAGTTTATTAACTATAAAAATGAAGATTTAACGACTTGTGCATTTCCGTTGGTACCTGCTGGTTTGATCATCCATGATCCTTATACCATGTAAAACTATCAAAACTTGATTTATTTGACTACACACACGATAAGTTTGTCTGATTTTTGCATAGAAGTTGCACAATTTTAGGTTCAGTGTTTATGCACACTTTGAAATAAGCAGTGGCAAGGATTAAAGACAAAACCTGGTAAATGTACAATGTAAATGGTCCATCTGGCATTCAATTTAACATACTGCATACCAGCAGGGTTACACACCTGTAATTTGAATTGGAGAGGACTTGAAAAATAATTCAAATTCTAGAATAAAATATCTGTATTATTCCTGTTTCATGTTTATTCCATTTGTTTGTTTGTATTTTTCTTCAGACTCAAGTTAGAAAATTAAAACTTTTTATGTAAAAATACATTTGTAGGTACATACATTTGTTGATACATTCAGTATTATCAGTAAATATCTGTTATTTTTTAAAATGAAAATATATCGACTGAACCCACAATTCATTGTACTGAATGATGAGAATCTTTCGTATCTAACATGCTCAATGACATCCTGCACCTCCTGTTTTATTTACTGGGGACTTCCTTAGCAAATCTTTGCCACATCTACAAATTCATTATAGGGTAGGAATTTCATAGATTTGTAACTGCTCCACTCAAAATGCTAAGCACTGATTTTTAATTGACATTTCTACAGAATCTTTCTTACACATGTTACATGTACATGTATGTCTATCATGGTATATGATGCCCATTGTGGACTTCCATCTGAAATATCTTTGTGGTTTCCCTTTGGCATGTTTGGGTAACACAGCCCCAAGACTTCATATAATGCATAGGGTATGTTAGCCTTTGAATTATTTGGTCTGATAATCAAATAATCACTATAAAAACAGCCAAGTAATCACATAATCAAAGAACCCATGAGGAGGCTCACAAGTAATGTTGATCTTTAATTGGTTGTTTTTCTTTTGGAAAGCACCAACATTTGTAACCATGCAATAGATTTAGCCAAGAAGTAAAATATTCATATCTATTAACTTGCAACAAACAGGAAATGTTTTTTTCAAAGAACTTAATCTAAACCATGCAGTAATCGAACCAACAATTATCTCAAATATTTTCATATCTTCAAACCTTCAAACTAATGCCCTGATCTAACATACACTGACATACATGACATAGTCCATTTAAGTTGCAAATTGTCATAAAATATTTACTTAGTTACTGATAATCTTGATGTGATAATTAGTATTTGTTTAAAATCTGCTATTTATTACCAAATAGTTATAAGCCTTGCAAATTGTTTATCAATTTTATGGGGAAAGATATTGTATTTTCCTTTAAAAATCAATTTGGATATCCTGTAGATATTTTGATATTTAAGGTAACAAAAATTATCTCAAATTGATCTATAAAAAATAAATTGGCAGATTCAGAAGAATTAGGGTTGGAGTAATCCTTCTTTGGATTTTTTTGTATCTCATAAATGGGCCCTCTTCCCTTTTTATGAAGAAGCCCTGTCATTTGTAAAAGAAATTCAGGGTCCTTGCCCTGTCCATGCTATCTAATACTTCAACCAAATATCAATAAGACAATGAAAAAATATGGACGTTTATATAGTTTAACCTCCTGAAAATTAAAGGGCTGGTAGATCAGAATTTTTTGTCATAGTGTTGCATGCAATCTGGAAAATCTTGTGTTTTCAACAAGTCCAGTTCCAGTATGATACACTTTACTGGAACTACTACCATATTTGCATTTAATTGTCAATTATCAAATTCATGGTTGTGATTTTGAATCGCGCACATTGTCAGTTTTCCTACTTAAGGTCAGTGATTCTCTCTGGCTTAACTCCTGCTTCCTCCACCAATAAAAACTGACTGCCACAAAATAGCACAATAGTGCCGAAAGTGGCTTTAAACACCAATCAATCAATATCTGTTGGTGAAAGGGTTTAAAGGAATCTTGATAAATATATAAATTAAGGACCACTAAGTTTTCACTGGGACCACCAGATTTGTAGTACTTGTGGTCACTAAAAAAGATTTAGAGAATTCTGGGTCATTACAGTTGTTACATAGATATTATCCTTCTATGACAGTGTACTGATATACAGTTTTTATAGTCAAAATAAATTTGAACTTACTTGTGAAAATGTGAGATATGTTTTAAAAAAAAAAATCGTCATATTTTGTGTGTGAAAATTGTATATCCTATCCTTTTAAAGTATGGTAATGTATATTCAGATTTTTTAGCATAGAATATGATATTTTAGTCAGTGGGTAAATTAATAGAGCATTCAAATTTTTATATAATGTTTATGAAAAATATAAGGTGAAAATTTGTTAGATAACATGTCATCTAAAGGATTGCCTCGAGTCAGTTCTGTTTACATTAGTTTCTATATCAGCCTTCTGAAACTTAAGTCAAAAAGGTATTTTTGTCACTGTTATATAACCTGCATCTAAAATATATGTCAGTTTTCTTCAATATTTGAAAACAAATCTGAATTAAACAGTCTTCACACTGGCCCATCAGCCTAGGCTTTTAAAATTGCTTTCTGATAAGGCCTATAAAAATCATTTACTCCGGACTATAGGATCTAACTAAAATTTTTGTAAAATTAAGCTTGGGGAGTGTAGATTCAAATGTTTATGATGATTGACTGGAATTATACTACATGCACATGTAGAAACTGTAGAAAATAACTCAAATACCTGTATTTCCCCTAACACTTCTAACATCCTGAAAAAGGATTAGGATCTGTTACTGTACAGAAATAGTTTTATTTTTCAAAAAGTTTTGACTGGTTTGAATAGGGAAAACCGTCTTACATTGATATAACTTGTTTAAAAATGACAAAATCTCAGACTGTACGCCATTAAAAATCAAGATAGGTCATGTAGGTCAGGGTTAATAGCACAAACGCAAATATTTTTATGCCCAGTGCAGCTGAGGGGTCAGTAATTTTTACCTCTGACCGTAGGTCTCAAAATTAGTTTCCCTTCTCCTACTTTGCCTCAACCAAATGTTATAATCTTATACACAATGCTTATTACCACCTAACACATATCAAGATTTAATTTGGGTGATGTCACTTTCACCTTTTTCGTTTATTAGGTCTTAATGTAAAGTGGTGCTTTATTTTTTGCGTACATGTAGTTTAAATTTTGAGATTTCCATGGCCAAACCTGTTGTGACACTTTATTTTCATGTTTTCTTATTCAATGTCTTCGATCTTCCTAATTAATTTTTAATTTATGCAATTTCATTTCAATTGCAAAACTATTTAAAATATTCAATCCCGTGCGAAAATTTCCAAACTACTTTGTACAATATATACATACATTTATGTATACTGTAAATTCAGAAATTTGTGTGTGTATTTTATTTATTATTGGAATTGTTGAACAATAGTATTACAAACTCAGTAATTGCTTCATACAAATAACGCTATCAAAATTTATATTGCAAGTTTTCATTTTTGGTAAATCTGTTTTCTAACCAGCAATTTCTGAATTTAGAGTATTTTTTGTGTGTACAAGTTTATATTTACTGATACAAAATTGTAAAAGTTGAAAAATTTAAATCCATGTATTCAATCAAGATACTATTTGTCAGAATCACTAGAATGAGCACATGCAGGTACATTCAATGTCATGGCCATGATGGCAGCATACAGCTTAGAACTGCTATCTAAGCTTTTTGTAGAAGTAGTTCTGGAAAATCACTTCAAAGATAGTCAATTATCTTTATTCATTATGTCATGTAAATATCTTTAATTTCGATATATAAGCTACTATTATATACATG